ATAATAATAATAATAATAATAATAAGCAGGCATAGAACCTGAGTGGCAAATGTTGTAATCCTAGCACTTGGGAAGCTGAGGCAGGAGGATGTTGTGAGTTCAAGACCAGCCTATGCTACACAGTGAGTACAAGGTCAGCCTGCACTGCACAGCTAGACCCTGTCTCAAAAACACAGAAATAAAATAGTAAAGTTTGCAAACATGAGCTTGGAGCTACGCCTTGATGGTACAGTGCCTGCTGCGGGACAGGTACAAGGCCCTTGGGGCATTCAGGCCCTCAGCGGAGCCCTGCCCTCCTGGCTGCCCTCTAAGTGCCCCTCTTCTCCAAGGCCTGCACCACAGCCTGCAGCCAGAGATGGGGCCCTCAGAAAGGCTGCCCTGGGGACCCCCATAGTAGCCCACACACTGCTCCTGGGCACAGCGCCCCTCGTGCCCCTCGCAGCAACACAGCCAGCAGCCACCAGGATTCTGGCCCCCTACCCCCACCCCATAGCACCCTGTGCCGGCCACCTGGTCAATGACCAGGAAGGAGAGGGAGGTCTCAGAAGGTGACCTAAACCCAGTAGAACCACACTAGGTACACTTGATGACAGCTTCATGGTGGAAGAAATCAGTCTTCACTAACTTTAATTCACCTAACAAAACATAATCAGGGAGCCGAACTGATGGCGCACACCTGTGAACCCAGTACGTGGAAGGCTGAGGCAGGAGGATCACCTCCAACTCGAGGCCAGCCTGGGCTACATAGTAAGTTCAACTCCAGGCTGGACTACATAGTGAGACCCTGTCTCAAAAAAAGAAAAAAATTAGAATTCAAGCTTCCCCCTATTCCAAGAAGCAAAACCATACATATCACAGGCAGTCAGGAACTTGGTGGGGACGGGATGGGGGTGCCAGTTACAACAATACACAAGAATCTGATGGAAACAACATTTTGTTTTGAAAAGAAAAGAAAAGCTCCTTTCTGGGTTTTGTTGGGAGTCAGGAGTGAATAGAAAGGAAGCAAAAATTGTAAACTTTATTTGCGTCTCCCTCGTGTGGCCAATGGAAGTACTGCAGCTCTTTCAGCGGTTGCCTTGCAAGGCCTGGGGTCCCTGGCACCAGCCCAGCCAGAAAACTTCAAAGGCCCATGGTATCCACAGATTGCCGTGAGTTCGTGGCCAGCTTGAGCTACACGGTGGGCTCAAGGCCAGCCTGGACTACAGGGCAAGACCTTGTCTCAAAAACCAAATCAAACATTTTATGGAGGAATCTTCCAACTGGAAGACAAAGTTTTATTCTTTCACACTAGGTATAAATGACTTCCAGGTTGTACTTCAATTACCTGGCCAAAGATAAATTAGATGCTGTATGCTCCCCTGCTTTGGGAAATTGGGGACCTAAACTGCAAGAGTTCTGGCAACAACAGCCTCTTCACTCAACGTCCAAGTCACTCCCAGACTGCGCAGACACAGCCAAGGACTGAACCTCACTAAACCAGAGAGCAAGAGGCCATCCGGCCAGGCAGAGAGAAGCACAGTCAGGGCCAGGGCTCTGGGCAGAAGGAGTCCACTGTGAGGCCGAAAAGCCCCAGCGCTGGGGGCGGGACAGGGCAGTCGGTGCCCAAGTCTCAGCTGCTTGGCCAGGGCAAACATCCTCAGGCAGAACTGGAAACCTGCGAAGAAAGTAAGAGCCCAGACGTGGGGGAGGAAAGAGGTAACGTGCCAGGTACAGGCTGTAGTGTTTGCTTGTTGTGCTGGACATTTCAGAATTGCAGTTTCATTTGAGATGAGGAATTCTGTGTGTGTGCGCCTATGGGAACCCACGGCTGCCATAATGACCTACATCCCGAGCTCTTTTTTAATGCTTTTGAGACACGATCTCAATAAGTTGTTAAATTGCCCATGTTGGGCTTCAATTTGCAATCCTCCTGCCTCAGTTTCCCAGAGTGCTAGGACCCCCTCCAGGTGCGCACCCCCTCCCCACTCTTCTTCCTCTTCCTCTTTTCTTCCCCTTCTTCCTTCCACCTTCTTCTTTGTTCTCCTTCTTTCATTTTTTTTATATGGTATCTCACTATGTTGCCCAGGCTGGTTTCATCTCCTGGACTCAAGTGATCCTCCTGCCTCAGCCTCCAAAGTAGCTGGGATTATAGACACATGCCACCATGCCCACCTGGGTCACTGGGAATTTAAGACTATTGTGCAAGAGGAAAGTTCAATGTCTAAGACTCTGAATCTATGGCATTCTTCTTTGTAAAAGGAGTGAGTTGCACTTACCCCAGAATGAAACATAAAAGCTTAGTTCCAGGGTGATTCTCAAAAGCAACAGCCTGGGGCTGGGGCTATAGCACCAAGACAAAACCAAACATGTACTAGCTGCTATTGTACTGAGCTATCTCCCCGACCCCCATGTACTAGCTGCTATTATCGTCATCAGAAACACTAGCAGATATATATTATGCTCCATAGATGATTCGTTGTGTTAGTAGCACAGCATTTGCCAAGCATGCAAGAGGCCCTGGGTTCAATTGCCACCCCAAAATAAATCACAAAAATTAGAAAAGAAGCATTTCCTGGGGCTGGGGAGATAGCTCAGAGGTGTGAAGGACCTACCTGGCAAGCACAAGGTCCCGAGTTCGAAACCCAACCCTGCATGCCATGCCAGCCCTGGAACCTCAGGTGAACCATGCTGGCCCCAGAACCAAGCACGACTGAACACCTTCTAACTGCCAGGCGTTATCAAATGCTTTACACCGTGCCATGAAATGTTCGCAACAATCATGTTTTCTCAGCATGTTATTCCAATACTGCGTCATTACTGCATCGTCACTGCTGAGTGCGCTGGAGTCGTGAGCAATGCGCCCAAAGCCGTGCAGGCATCTGAATACTCGCTAATAATTCCGGGGGAGGGTGCTGGGGATGCAATCCCAGGTCTCAACTCATGCTAGCCAGGGAGCCACCACTGAGCCCCAGCCCCAGCCCTGGCCAGTCATGGCTGAGCACTTGCCATAGCTCTGATGCCACTCTGAGTACTAAGCATGGAGATTTACTTAATAATAAATTAATGAAAAATGAAAGCCATATTAATATGCTGAGCTGTAAAAGGCTCAAGTCAACAACTTCTGACCTTGCCAGTCCTATGAATAACCCACTACTATTATGGACTCCTGGACTATATTGGATTATTTTGCTGAATTCATGCACCTACAATATTTAAATGGCAATGGAATACCCAGCTCTGACAAAACTAAACAAAAAAGGGGATACAAATGAAGGACCATTTTGTGTCTGTATATACAAAAGAGTTCGGATAGATATGCAGCTACTTTCTCTTAATTCAATGAGAAGGAAGATTTGTACTAATAGTGTTTGGACAGGACATGATGTCTGCAGCTTGTACTATGAATAACCACTAAGAAGACAACAATATGCAATGTATTAATTATTGTAACTGTCCTACTAATCAGTTTTGAAAATGTCTCATTGCTATTTGTTTCTCAATAAAATTAATAAAATGAATCAGTACTGGGGCCATATGGATAGGAAAGAGGGCATTTTCTGGTACCTGCTGATCTCTGACACCCTTTTCTAGAAGGCTCAGCAACGTCTACAGCTGACCTCTGATTCTTCTGTTAAGCTTCTTAAATTATTAAAATAAACAATAAAGTTGAAAAAAGTAAATAAGTCAATTATTGAGTTACGTATTCTCACAGTACCCATTATTTGTCCCCCTCCCCTTAATTTTTTTTTAAGCCCAGACTGTTCTGAACTGGTGGCGATCCTCCTGCCTCAGCCTCCCAAGAGTGCTGGGATTCGCATCGTGCGCCAGCACACCTGGCATCAAGTACTTTTAAACTCTTCTTCTCTGCTATTGGACTCCCTAACTCAATCTCTGTGCTCGAAAGCACCTCACAAACACTTTTCAAGCAACATGCACTGCAATGCCCCCTGCCACACACATCCAGGGCCACCTGCAAGCTCTGCACAGGCCAAACTGTGCTCACTGCAGGCCAAGCCCTGCTCTGGCTCTGAGCTCCAGGCCGTATCCACCCGAACAGCTCACATGATTGCTGCCTTACCTGCCCGTCAATTGGTGATCACAAGCAAAGGGACCGTTCGTGGGTTCCCTGGGCTTCCCTGGCTCCTAGCCTAGGGTCCCAGAGACAGGGACCATCGGGCTGCACCTGCTGCCAAGTGCCAGAGAGCAGGAGGTGAGACCGCAGCACATACACTCAGACAGGAAGGCTTTGTGCTTGCCTCTATGACGCAGATCTGGGGCTCCTCCAGGTTCCCGTCCACTGGCACCTTGGACTGATTCATAACCCACTCTTGGATGGCATCAGTGATGTGGGGGACAACTGCAGAAAAAAGTCAGGCACTGAAGTGTGTTAATGCCCACCAGTGAGGAAAGTACCTCCCGAACCACCCACATAACCGTCTCGAGGGCCTCCATGACATCTTCCCTCATGACCATTGTATATCCTAATGCACTTAGTGCAAGTCACTTAATACTGGGCCTTTGGACCATTGTATATCCTAATGCACTTAGTGCAAGTCACTTAATACTGGGCCTTTGCATTCAACACTGACCAGCCAGAGATCATGAAACAAAGCAGCAGGGCATGCTGACACACAATATTGACCCCAGGACCCGAGAGGCTGAGGCAGGAGGATCACTGCAAGTTTGAGGCCAGCCTGGGCTACATAGTGAATTCAAGACCACCCTGAACTACATAGTGATACTGTGTCTCAAAAACAAACCAAAATGAAACAATGCAGGAGTCAGGGGTTTAGGTCACTGGTTCACTGCCTGCCTAGGTGAGGTCTTGAGTTCGGTCTCCAGTACCAAAAAATGAAACAATGCGAAAGTGCCATCATTCATGTTTGTTGAAACCCAAACCAGAAAATGCCTATCTTAGCTGGATGTGGTGATGCACACTTACAATTCCAGTACTTGGGAGGCTGAGGTAGGAGGATCATTGTAAGCTCGAGACCAACCTGGGCTACAAAGTGAGCTCAAGGCCAGCCTGAACTGCAAAGCGAGACCCTATCTCAAAAAGACAAAAAAATAAAGAGGACCAGACTGATAGCTCAGCAGACTAAAGTGCCTGCTTAGACAGATGCAGTGGCTGGGGTTCAATCCCCCCTCCTCAGCACACCGTGCTGACCTCACCCCCAGGCATGCTGAGATGGAGATTGAGACTGGGCGTGGTGGTGCACACCTATAATCCCAGCACTTGGGAGGCTGAAAACAGGAGGATCACTACCGAGTCAGATCTGTGTAGTGAAACCCTACAGACCCTGCCCTAAAAATACAGAAAAAAGAGACAAAGAATTTTAAAAATGCCTATCTCGCCAACTAAGAACTATGTAAAGAGGGCAGCTGGGTCAGCCGGGGAAGTGGGGTACTCAGCTGCACATGAGGCAGGCACCAGCCAGCAGGAGGACGGAGATAAGACCTGCACTGGGTCCCACACCCCACAAGGGCTAAGCAAAAAGCCAAAAGTGCAGTTTGTACTAGTATCTGAGTCTCAGGATCCCTGGGCAGGGTATAAAAGGATCCAAAGCTCCTGATTTCAGCTAAAGAAACACCACAGGCACAGGTCAAGGCTGCAGATACAAAGCCCTAATTTGACACAGAAAGTAGAAATGCTGGCTTTGGGGTTGCAAGCGGAGAAAGTGCCTCCCATTGCTGAATCGAGAAGGGTCCACTGCGCAGGTCCACTGCACAGGTCTGGACCCTCCCACCCCTCCCCAGCGCAATCATTTTTCAAAAACAAGTGCTCACCATCCATGCAAAGAAATAAGATAAAGGATGAAAAATGAGCATATCAGGGATGGCCAAATAGATCAGCAGATTAAAGCGCCTGTAAGCAGGCGCAGGGGCCAGGGATTCCATCTTCGGGCCTGCCGTGCCAGCGTGGCCCCCAGGGTCACTGAGACAGCAACTGACACTGGGCTTGGTGGCATGCTGCTGTAATCCCAGCTCTTGAGAGGCTGTAAATAGGCGGATCACTAAGAGTCCAATCTAGTAGTGAGACCCTGAACACCATGTAGACTCTTCCTTTAAAAATACAAAGAAAAATGAGCATATCAAAACACAGGGGGCCGGAGATATAGCTCAGCAGCACGAGTGCCTGCCTGGGAAGCATATGGTCCCAAGTTTGATTTGTGACACCAAAAGAAAACAACAAAACACAGGAGCCAGGCATAGTGGTGCACCCCTATAATCTTGGCACTCAGGAAGCCCACACAGACGGATCACCACAGTTGGAGGACAGCCTGGGCTACATAGTGAGTTCAAGGTCAGTCTGAACTGTCTCAAACCACCACCTCCAAAAGAAAAGGAATGTAGAATTTTTTTTTTTTTGGCGGAACCAGAAATTGAACTCAGGCCCTTGCACTTGCCAGGGAAGCACTTATTCTACTGAGCCATCTCCCTGGCCCCTGGAATATAGAAATTTGAAAAGGATTAAAACCTAGAGAGCTGGAGGCCGAGGAGATGGCTCAGTGGAATAAGCGCTTTCCTGGCAAGTGCAAAGGCCTGAGTTCAATCCCCGGTTCCACAAAAAAAAAAGATAAAATGAATATGTGAAGAAAACCTAGAGAGCTGATGGCCTGTGATAGCTGATCTCTGTACACACAGCTGTCTAGCACAGCACCTCGTCTCCACACGCCTGCGGCCCTGGTACCTTGCACTGTCTTCCCCAGGTAGTCGCCACGCCGCTCCTTCTTGATCACGTGATGGTAGATCTTCCCGGTGGTGATGTTGTTGTCCTTATAGAGGTTAATATCCAAGAACCTTTCGTAATTGCCAAGATCCAGGTCGACTTCACCGCCATCATTTAAGACAAACACTTCTCCTAGAATGAAAAGCCCATGCAGAAATGAAACAATTGCCTCTATGAGACTATTTTTCAAAGAGTGACATTTTTTCACTTCTATTTATTTATTTTTACTAATTTTGTATGCTTATATCTGGAAATCTGAACAACTAATTTGAAGACAACAATATGCAATATAGCAACCATTGTTGAATTCCTATCATTTTGTTTAGTGAAATTCTGTATCATTTCTAATGGGTTTTTTCCATAATTTTATTGAGAGACAAATAGCAATGAGACAGTTTCAAATCAAATTGGTAGGACAGTTTCAATAACTAACACATTGCATATTGTCTTCCTAGTGCTTATTTGCTGTACAAGATGTAGACATGATATTTGTAAATAGAGTGACATATTTTTTATTAAAGATTTTTTAAAATGTATTCACAGTGATGGTCTATTACCATGTCCTTCTCTTGATGGGGATTATAACATTAAAGGCTATCTAAAAAATGCATTAGAAATGTTCCAGTAGCCTACCATGAGGACATTTTTGTTGTTGTTAATCTCACTGAAATTCTAGCGAGTTTAAAAAAGTTACACAAGGCATGCTAGCAGATGCCTGTGATCCTCTCAAGGCCAAGACAGGAAGATCCCAAATTCAAACCCAGCCTGGGCAATTGAGCAGCTCAGGAAAACTGGGTATCAAAGGTAAAAAAGAAAAAGGTGACAGGAATGGGACTCAGTGTGAAGGCCCTCTGTTCAGTCCACAGTAATGAGAAAGAAAGAAAAGAGATGGGCTGGGGAAGAAAGAGAAAGAAGGAAAACTACAAAGGGGGAGAAAGAAAAGATTTATCTTGTTCAACCCCAGCATGGTGGTACAGAACATGCCTGTAATCCCGGCTCCTCAAGAGGTTAATACAAGATTACAAGGTGAACAATAATCTGGGATGCTTCATGAGACCCTCTCTCAAACTTTAAAATGTGAAAAGGGATGGCAGTGGTAGCATGCTTGCCTAGCACATTTGAGGGCCTGAGCTCTAGCCACATTACCACAGAGAGAGAGAGAGAGAGAGAGAGAGAGAGAGAGAGAGAGAGAGAGAGAGAGATTCAGCTTTTCTAAACTCATCACATACCAAATGAAAAAAGCACCTTTTTTTTCTTTTTGAGGCAGGGTCTCACTATGCAGTTCAACCTGGTATTGAACTCACACCTCAGGCATGCTGGTGCATGCCTGTAATATTAGCACTTGAGAGGCTGAGGCTGGAGGATCACTGCAAGTTTGAAGTCAACCTGAGATACATAGCTTTTTGTTTTTGTTGATGTTTTGAGACAGGATCTCAGTGCGTAATGCAGGCTGCTCTTGAGCTCACTATGTAGCCCAGGATGGCCTGAACTCACAGCAATTCTTGTGCCTTAGCCTCCCAAGTGCTGGGATAACAGGCGTGCACCAACCCAACAAGGCTGGTCCACACAGTAAGACACCATCTCAAAAAGAAAAGGAATAGAGTGGCTGCAAGGAGCTGAGTGTCAGGGTCGTACAATCAATTCACAGTACAAGGAGGGGAAAAATGTCCCAAACAATCCTGGATGAGTCAACAGCCCTAAGTGGTCAGAATCTCAAAGTTAGCTGGCAGGGGAATGTATGTGACATGAGAATGCTGGGTGATCTTTCTAACAATCAAACCAGAGAAAGCTAAATTTATTTATTTTTTATTTATTTATTATCTTTTTCCAGAACTGGAGATTGAACTCAGACCCTTCTGCTTACCAGGGAAGCGCTTATTCTACTGAGCCATCTCCCCAGTCCCAGAAACCTAAATTTAAAAGGAAGATATTTTGGTTTTTCTTTTGTTTTGTTTTTGGAGCAGGGATCAAACTCAGGACGTTGTGCTTGACAGGCAGGCATTTATACCGCTGAGCTATTTTCCCACCCCAAAAGGAAGATATTGTGTTTGGTTGGTTTACTGTCTGGTTAGTAAAGTTTAAAAATAATATTCAGAGCCAGGTGTGGTGGAACACATCTGTAATCCCAGCACTCAGGAGGCTGAGGCAAGAGGATCACTGGGAATTCAAGGCCATCTTGAGCTATATAGCAAGACTCTGTCACAAAATAAATATTATTATTCAACAAAGGCTAAGGAATCTGGGGATATAAATGAGTGCAGATTCACAATTTTGATCAGGAAATCCTTGGGGCCAAATTGGAAGGTAGAATTTGGAGTTCTCAGATTATAGAAACATAATACAGGACACGTTCTGCATATTACAACACACATAACCAAACACATTCCAAGTCCAATACAGTCAAATAAAACTGTAACTAGAGGGACCAAAATGATCAGAACTCCACGAATGAGATCA